AGCCAAAATTAATGTTCTTGCATGACTTGGAAATGTCAACTTATTTATAGCCTTCCTTAGGTCTTGCTTCTCCTTTGGTATATCTGTTGAATAAAACTAGGTGAAGCATAGTCTTTCTTAATTTCTTAAAATTAGCTTAAAATCAGGTTAGTGGACAAAAGTTGTAATAAGTATCAAACTAACAACTATAGCCAGACTATTTTTACGATCTCCTCTGAGAATATAAAATCTCTGTGAGTAGGGAATTTTATTTTATTCACTAACACATCCCAAGTGCCAGAACAGGACCTAGTATCAGGAGGCCCTCGATAAATATGGAACAATTCAACCTTCTTGGCAGCTACCGGTTTAAAGATATCCTACTTTTCACCAATATTTTACAGTTGTATGTGAAATCCCAACTTTTTATTTTGGTTCTCATTCTTTAAGGGTAACAGAGGTTATTACTGGAAAAAAAAAAGATATATGTTTATCTATATATTCAATATATATCAACATAATATATATTAGACATGATATATAATATAATCCAGTTATCTAAATATATACACACACATATATGTACATACATATATATCTATTCTAGACTGGCATTAAAATTCTTCGATCTCTGAAGCAAGAAAATAAACAGTTCTAACAGAAATGCTAAAGAACTATGTTAATTCATAACTACGTGGCCACTACACTGTTTATTTACTTGATCTATATTTGGCTTTATTTATATAATAAAACAATATATATTCTGAACTAAGTTGTATTAGACTGTCTAGTATAACACCATTTCCTTTAGTATTTAATTTTTTTTTTAAAGATTTTATTTATTTATTTGACAGAGATCACAAGTAGGCAGAGGCAGGCAGAGAGAGAGGGAGGGGAAGTAGGTTCCCCACGGAGCAGAGAGCCCCACACGGGGCTCGATCCCAGGACCCCGGGATCATGACCTGAGCTGAAGGCAGAGGCTTAACCCACTGAGCCACCCAGGCGCCCCCGCTTAGTATTTAATTTTGAATTTTCATGATAAAGATATTCCCTTATGGACACAGCGAATGTGGGTTCGCTTAATATGTTTTTATTTTATTTTTAAAGATTTTATTTTTTTGACTGAGAGGGAGAGAGAGCGAGTGAGCGAGCTCCAGTTGGGGCAGAGGCAGAGGGCGAGAATCTCAAGCTGACTGCACTCAGCGCAGAGCTGGCTGCAGGGCTCAGTGTCACCACAATGAGATCATGACCTGAGCCAAAATCAAGAGTCACACACTGAGCCACAAAGATGCCCTTGTTTTTTATTTTAAAACACAGTCTTTAGATATTTAAGATAAAATGGGAAAAACCTAGGAGAAATGCAAATCTTACTGTTACTGAGATCTGAAGCCTTAACAGGGAGAATATCATGTAATGGAGAGAAAATTCCCAGCAACAGCCCACTAAGCACTGCGACAGACTTCACAGAACTATTTTTTCAAAAGTTCTTCCACTTAAGGCAAAATATAACTCAAGAAAAGCAGAGCTACGGTGAGGTACCTAAAATGATATGGTTTAGAAAACTGTTTTCTGGGCTGACTTAGTTAGTCAAAGGATAGTTTTTATGTATTTTTATTATTTGTTATTCATTCCCCCGGTTTTATTGAGATATAATTGGCATATAACAGTATATTAATTTAAGACATTCAATATGATGATTTGATATATATTTATACTGCAAAATTATTACTATAATAAGTTCTGTTAGTATCCATTGCCTCACTTAGCTCATTTTTTTCGTGTCATAAGAACTTTTAGGATCTACTCCCTTAGCAGCTTTCAAATATATAACACAGTATTGTTAGTTACAGTCACCATGTTGTACATTATATCCCCAAAACTTGTTTATAACAGGAAGTTTATACCTTGAGAACACCTTTTACGATAGTTTTTGGGTTCTTTAGAGCTGTGGTCTCCTAACTACTTTTGAACACTGGACCCTATCATTTAAAAAACCTTTTTTTGAGCATGTATCTTCTACATATATATTGTATGTATTTATATACTATATATATAACTTACACAAATGTGCATATGTACATATGTTGACTCCAAAGAACTCTAATTGTGTTCTACATAACTATATATATAACTATACTGATTTATTTTTATAAGATATATACAGAATAGAAAATGTAAAAGGATAAAATAATACTAAGCATTAATAGAAGCTGTATTGTTTTCTTCCTACATTCCAGTGTTTTATTTTGTGCATACTTTGAGACAATTCACCCCATCTGGGGACTCAAAAATACAAAGGAATGACACTCCTTCACTAATGTCGTCCCCCCCCCCCCCCCCCCCCTTAAGTAAACACTGGTCATCATGACTTCAAGGTCATTTTTCTGACAAATGCCTGGAGTAGAGCTGTGCAGCTGGTTTGTGCAGAGTCACATACTTTCACAGTCAGGTGGTGATGGTGAAGAGTGACATACCTTATGAGAACCGAGTTTGCTAGGACACACATTTGGTTGGAACTCTATTCTTATTCTATAAAGGTGGATCACAATGTGCCGGGAACAACACATACATGAATGATGAAGGCTGCAGGTCTAACGACAATATGTATCATTACGATATAGTGATATAAAATAATACTATAATTCTAGTATAAATCTATATAAAGACACATTCTTGTTTCCTGACTAGACATTCTGCCAGTGATAAAATTAAATCTCAGATATTTAGAATCCACAATGTATGATATCCAACTATTAATATCCTAGCCTTGCATATCATTGTAACAACCTCCAGGATGTGAATGTAGTCTAAGATTTAAATGAGGGTACAGTAAGATACTATTATGCCAAATAGCACATAAAAACGTTGCGTAGTCACTATGATGACTCTTGGAGAATAATCAGTATTTCCTCAGATTTTATTCAATACCAATGGACCGACAGTTATGTTTTTCATGCTTTTCCATTTTTTTGTGGATGTGCCTCCAACTTTTTAATCACAAATACTTCTGTATGATAGATATTCTTACTATGTATATTGGTTAAAATCTTAGAAGGGAGGGAACCAACATTTTTTGAGTCTAAGTACAAATACTTGGCTAAATGTTTTATTTAATTAATTAATTTATTTAAAGATTTTATTTATTTATTTGTTAGAGAGACACAGCGAGAGAAGGAACACAAGCAGGGGGAGCGGGAGAAGAAGCAGGCTTCCCACCCAGCAGGGAGCTCAGCATGGGGCTGATCCCACCTGGGATCACCATCCTAGCCAAAGGCTGATGCTTGACAACTGGGCCACCCAGGCGCCCCCGCTAAAGGTTTTAAAGCCATCGTATCTTTTAGTTTTCACAACAATCCTTAAGTGATAATTATTATCTCCATTTTACAGACCAGAAAAATAAGGCTGGGGGCTTCAGGGTCTAGGTCACACAGCCAAGATTTTGACGTACCTCTGTCAGGCTTCAGAGCCAGGCCTCCTCCCCCTACACTGAAAACGTAGTTATAGGGACTGAACCAACCCAGGAATTCCCAGGTGAGATGCTCAGTCTACACGTGAAGGTAATTCCTCCTGACTCTGAAAGACGACTAAAGCAGGAATGACAAGTGGTTAGAGCCGAGGCCCTGAAAGGATCCTACAGAACCACCCTTTGCTTCTGCACGGAGCACTTTAAGACTGCTCCTCCTCTGCCCTCCTCTGCCTTACCCCGAAGCCCAAACACAAGGCTTAAGAGGGTAAAAGTTGACGGCACACAATGCAGTCGACTCTAACAGCCAGATTACTGCAGAAGCATTGCTCAATCCTCCCTCCTGAAAAACCCGTCAAAAAACATAGCACAGGGGCGCCTGGGTGGCTCAGTGGGTTAAGCCTCTGCCTTTGGCTCGGGTCATGGTCTCGGGGTCCTAGGATGGAGCCCCGAGTCGGGCTCTCTGCTCAGTGGGGAGACTGCTTCCTCCTCTCTCTCTGCCTGCCTCTCTGCCTACTTGTGATCTCTGTCTGTCAAATAAATAAATAAAATCTTAAAAACAAAACAAAACAGCACAACTCCCAAAAATTTAGTTTAAAAAAAAACCTAAAAGGCAAATAAACTGAATAAGCTTCTTAAAGAATTCTCCTTGAACTCTCCTTAAAATTCCGCAACGGTCCCAGCTGCGCAGGGTGCAGTACACACCCCACACGACCGTCCTGCCCGTCTCGCCGGCGCACCGCGGAGACAGTCCGCCGCCACCGCAGACTCCGGGGCGGACGAGCCACCTTCCCGCGGACCCCGACGGCTGAGGGCCTTGACCGCGTGGGCGGGAAGCGCCGCTTCTGGGCCGCACGTCGGTCCCCAGCCTCACAGCACGTCTTCCCCGCGCTCCGGCGCGGCAGACCCCACCGCGTCCCGCTCAGCCCTGCCCCGGGGCCCGGCCCCCGGCCCAAAGCGCGGAGCGGGACCTGCGGGACCTTCCGGACCTCCCGGGGCCGCTCGCGTCCCACCCACGCGCACGACCGAGCACAACCGAGCGCTCCCGCCCGCGTCCGGGAAGGACCCACGCGCGGCGCCGCCCACGTCCCACGAAGCGGTTTGGCCGCGACGAGCCCATCCAGGGTCTCCCTCAAGGTCACGCCTACGCGCGGAGACCGCGAGGGACTCGGGCCCGCTGCGTCCCGAGGGCAGGGAGCGCCGGCGCCGCAGCCGTTACACCGGGGCCCGGGGGACGGGACGCGACCGCGGCTGCGGGCCCGGCGCGTCTGCAGGCCTCGGGCCACCGGCGCGGGCGGCGGCGCGACCTTCACCGCAGAGCCGGCGGGCGGTCCCCGGGGCCCCGTCCGGCAGCGGCAGGGGCGAAGGACCAACCCGAGGCCCCGCGCGGGAGGGCCGTGCGTCGACGAAGGTCGCGGAGCGCGCCCGCTGCGACCCCGGCCCACCAGCGACGCGGACGCGGGCGGCGCGCACGAGGCCGGCCGCCCCAGCCAGGCGGGCCCCCAGAGGGCAGCAGCTGGGCCTTGGCCGGGAGCGGGAGCGGCGCGGCGCGCCTTACCTGCCGGGTGGTTGTACAGCGGCCTCAGTTTCTCCGGCAGCAACAGCTCCACCTTGTCCAGGGCTCGGTGGTAGGTGGCCCGAAGGCCCCGGGCGCCGGCGGCCGACATCTCTGCGGACTGGCGCGTCGTGGGCGCCCGAGGGGGACAGCGGCCGCGGGCTCCTCCTTGGATGACAGCGAAGGACACGCGTCACTTTGTCCTACCCCAGCGCCTCGCGCCCGCCTCTCGCCCCCGGCGCCCTTCCCGCGGCTCCGGCAGCCCCTACTAACCGCCGGGTGGTCGGGCCCAGGAAACATGGAGGGGCGGAGGCTCCGCGAAGGCCCGCCCTGGGTCCGCCTCCTTCCCTCCCACCGCCCGGTGTGGGGAGGAGTCAAGGCAACAGGTGCCAGAAGGACCGCCTCCCCAAGCCCACCTGACTTCCTAGCGGCAGCGCGCCTGCGCAGGCTGAGCGGCCCACGGGGATTGGCCCGCGCCGCGGCGGGGGCGGGGCCCAGCGTGAACGTCCCGTTTCTCCTTCCTGCCCTCGAGGCCATGTTGGAGAAGGGAAAGTGAAGCTGCCCAGGTTCTAATTCCCTTGCTTTGATTAAGATAGCCCGTAGTTAACATGGGCTTTTTGGGCCTTCATACCCCAACTAAAGATGACGGCGCACAACGCTCTTGCTTCCTCCGGAAAGAGACTCGTGACTAAGAGGCTTCGTGTCTCAGCTTCCTCTCTCTCCGGCCCTCATTCACCCACAGAGAATCAAGGATTTAGCGACAGTGTCCCGAGCCCACCTTTCTCGGGCCAGGGCAGCCGTGGCGAACGGGGGCCTCAGTCCCGGGGGAGGGGGGGCGTCCTCTCGCGAGAAAGGCTGGGGCGGGCGGGTGCCAAGAACGAGGAGAGGGAGGAGTCGCGGCCGCCTCCGCCTCCTCCTCGCGTTGGAGGGGCGGAGGGAGGGGACTGTTGCTGGTCGCTGGCGTTCGGGCAGTCTGAGGAGGGGAGCATGAGGCGAGCGTCGGTCCGGGCACGGCCCGGCTTCGGGGGCCGGGGCGCCGCCGCCGTCTGAGCCGCTGCGCCCGCGAGGCCCGGCGCGCGGATGGTGCCGGTGCGGCTCGGCTGCTGAGCCGCGTGTCCCGCCCCTCCCTCCCCTCCCCCACGCGGTGGTCTCCCCTCCGGCCCCGCCCGGCAGAGCCATGTCTCGGGGCGGCTCCTGCCCACACCTGTTGTGGGACGTGAGGAAGCGGTCCCTCGGGCTGGAGGACCCGTCCCGGCTGCGGAGCCGCTACCTGGGTGAGCTGGGGGCCCCGGGGGCGGTGGCGCTGAGGTCGCTGCCCGGAGTGGGGGAGGGGGCTGCGCCGCGGGGGCTGTTGGCCGTGGGACGGCGCCTCGGCTGGGGCGCCCTGCGGCCGCGGGGTGCCGGGTGCGCGTCGGCCGGCGGCCCCCGCGCGGGCGTCCTCCCGCGGCCGAGCCCCCCCACTGCGTGCCGCCGGCCGCCGCCCTTGCCGGGTTTTCCTCGGGGGCCGGCGGGCGGCGGACGCTGCTGGCCGGGAGGTGTTGGGGCGCGTGTGGGGCGGGACTCGGGAGAAGACGCCGCTCCTCCCGGAGCGGCTCGGTTCGGAGCCGAAGTTGGCGCCTGTGCTCGCCGCCGCCGTCCGCGCTCCGCTGAAGGACGAAGTTTCTGCCCGCGGGCCCGGGGCGGCGGCGGCCTGCGGGGACCGGGCTGCGGACGGACTGCGCGCCCACGGCCCGGCGGCGTCCGGCCGGAGCCTCGGAGCGAGAGCGGCGGCCCCCGCCCCCGGCGCGCTCCGCTCGGCTCCGGCCCCGGGGACGGTGTCGGGTTTCGCGCGCCTCCGCCCGCCCTACGAAGCGCGCCTGGCGTCAGCGGGTTCCCCGTGGAGCTTCTAAAAACAGCCTCGGGGCTCGGGGGCCGGGCGCCGCCCCGTTTGCGTGTCGGCGAGCCCCGGGCGGAGCGGAGCTGCCGAGAGAGTGCGGGGCCTCGGAGCGGCCGCGTTCGGGTCGGCTCGGCTCGGCTCTTCCCGCGCGCTGCGCTCGCTCTTGCTGGAAGGCGGCGCGCGTGAAGCCGGTGCCGGCCCGTCCTGCCCCCTTTTCCGGGTGTCGAGGGCTTCGATTTTGCCTTCGAGTCCGCGAGAGCAGCTGCGGCCCCTCGCAGCGGACGGGCCGGGGGTACGTTGTTGGGAGGCGGAGCGGGCGCTTCTCGGTGGTGGTCGGTGACGGGGGCGACGCGGTTCCGTCCCCGCTGCCCGGGCTGCGTGGGACCGGGACGGCCGCCCCGTGCCGCCGCCCGCCCCGACCGCTTCTCCGCGCGCGTCTTCCGCGCTTCTGCGGGCACACGCGTGTCCACCTGCACGGGTGCCGGCGCGCGCGGCCCTGCGTGGACGCGGCCCTGCTGTGACCGTGGCGCTGCCGCTTGTCTGTTGCACGTTCGGTCTCGGAGGTCCTCCTGGCAGTAGGGACAGACCGGTCCGGTCCTCCAGACGGCCGCGTGGTGTCCACGTGGGGGACGGTGCTCCGCGGGCGCGGACTCTGCTCTGCAGCCGAAGCTTTGCAGGGACCGTCCTTACCCCACGGTAAGTGCCCGGAGTGGTCCCGAGTTGTTTCAGAGTCAAACCTCGGTGCGGGGCAGTTTTTTGCACGACCTCGAAAGATGTGCGGTGTGTCCTCTAGCGTTTGCTGAGAACTTTGTGTTCGCTTGAAAATCCCACTTTAGTGCTGCGCTCCCCGCGCGTGATGTCGGCCGGCCCTGCGCCAGTTGGGCGGTATCAGTTTTTGCCCTGCCTCATGTAGTTCAGCTGTATTTACGACGGTTAAAATACGGAGCTACACGTTTCCTTCTTCCCTTCTTCGCTTCCTCGCTTCCTACGTCTGCGCGTGCGGTTTGCGCTGGGAAGCGGGAGGCACAGCGGGAGGCGGCGAGCGCGCTCGGTTCCCCGCAGGCGGGTCCGGGTTTCCGGGTCTGCGCCTGCGCACTGAGATACACACCCCGGGCAGCTTTTTATCTTAGATAATGCTTTAAATGTGTTAATAATGTATCCTTCATAATTAGCATGCTCTTGAAACAGCACCCTTTCAAAGTGGTTTTCTAAATATTGGAAAATAGCTTGGGAAGTAATTTCTTGGCCTTAGTAGACCTTCTTTAAACCATTACTTTCTCTAACTCTTTCACACCAAGAACACTAATCTTGGTTTAGGGTTCGGGAAATAGTTAATTGCACCTTAGTAGCGCCTGAATTAATGAATTTTTTAAAAAACAATATTTTGAAACACTACTACAAAGCCTTTTAAAAAAACCTAAGTTCAGAAGTTTTATTCTATTTTTTTAAAGATTTTATTTATTTATTGGACAGACCGAGATCACAAGTAGGCAGAGAGGCAGGCAGAGGGAGAGGAGGAAGCAGGCTCCCTGCTGAGATCATGACCTGAGCTGAAGGCAGAGGCTTAACCCACTGAGCCACCCAGGCGCCGCAGCAAGTTTTAGAAAGACTTTTTTATTCTGAAACTTCAAACATTTTGATTGTTTATTGTAGATTATTATTCCAATTTATTTCCATTATTTGTACTTTTAATAATTAATTACTACTAAATAAATAATTCACAGATAGAATTGATGGATTTTTCTTGTAACATTGACATTTCAAATTATTTCACTATAGCATGTGTCTTTCCAATAGTAGTAGTCCAGCTTTGTAGGTGATTTTAAATTTGATTAATTACTGCTTTTCCTCCTATCAAAACTGGAGTTCATAAAACATCTTTTTATATTGTGGGAAAGAAGATAATTTGTCATATGTTATTTTTTAAAAATTTTGAGAGTAAGAGTGAACATGAACAGGGGCGAAGGGGGGCAGAGGGAGAAGCAGACTCCCCACTGAACAGGGAGCCTGATGTGGGGCTCCATCCCAGGACTCTGGGATCATGACCTGAGCCTAAGGCAGCTGCTTAACCAACTGAGCTGTCATATTTTATTTAGAAGAAAAAGATACATATGTTACTTACAGCCTCCAGATTATCAGATTTACCTGAACCTACAGACTGTTGTTTGCTTTACCATGGATTCAGAGGCTAGGCCAGCTTTTGTAATCTTTTATGGGCCAGATGTAAATTTCAGTATAGTATTTATCTTAAAGAGTAATTATCGAAGTCCAGAGTCAGAAACACCTGTAGATTTAAATGTTTCAGTTTCTTAAGATATTGTATAGCTATAGAGTAGTATTTTGGAAATCAGTGATTATTATAGTAACTTACTGGTTACATATTATTTTTACACATACACACATAGCTTTGTAAACGTGAACATTGCTTGTAAAAGATACTGGTTTGTATACATTTCCTCTTTCTGTTCATATTCCTCTCATTTTAAAGACTTGCCCACAACCTTTTATTGCATTTTAAAGACTTGCCCACCACCAATTTATACTTTCTAACCCTTCTACACTAAAAGACAGTAACTGACAAAAGAATAATGGAAATTTTCTAGGGAGTTGTTTGCCATAATGTATAGTATCTTTTTTGGCTTTTGTTTTTGTTTTTAAGATTTTATTTATTTGAGAGAAAAAGAGAGAGAGAGAGAAAGCATGAGAAGGGAGAGAGTCAGAGGGAGCAGAGACTCCCTGCTGCGCAGGGAGCCTGATACAGGACCCGATCCTGTAACTCTGGGATCATGACCTGAGCAGAAGGCCCTCAGGCACAATGTATAGTATGTTTAATATGTAATATATAGTACGTTTAGTATGTATAGTATGTTTAATATAAAATGCTTAAGTTATGATTAGGCAGTGTCCTGGTCAGCTTGGGCTGCTGTGACAAAATAGCATACACTGGGTAGATTATAAACAGCAGAAATTTATTTCTCACAGTTTTAGAGGCTCGAAGGCTGAGAATAGGGTGCTCACATCAGGATCTTGGTCCTGTGAGGAGGGCCTGCTTGCTTCCAGGCGCTAATTCTCTGTGGTTTCTTTTATAAGAGCACTAATCCTAACCTAATCACCTCTCAAAAATCCCCCCTCCTAATACTAGTTAGGATTGCAACATGGAATTTTTGAAGGGACCCAACCATTCACTACAGCAGGCAGCCGGCGATGCGGCGATGCCTTTGTACTGGAGTTAGGAAGTCTGTGTCATTTGCCTATCATTTGGAGTTAGTATTTATTGAAATGGATGATTTTGCATTTGGGTTTGTTTTTTTAAAATATCTTTATTTATTTTAGAGAGCATGCCGGGGGTGGGGGTGGGGGGAGAGAAAGAGGT